CAAGACCGGTGCTATTTTCAAGTGTTCTACAATGGCAGCCAGACACAGAATACTGAGGTTCCGGTATCGAGGGCTAAAGCAGCCCGAGCTTCCCAGACAAGAGCTACACATGCTCACGCAGCCAGGGTACAAGCTGCTAGGGCTCAAGCAAAGGAGTTCCCTACTCGAAGCCATATTCAGCAACAGAACTATTTTGATCTTCCAGCCCAGCCCCAGACATCCCAGAATCAGGCAACTTCAGGTGTGAGAGCTACATCTGCCGATGTCCCCATTGGGACTTTCAATACAAGACCATTCCCAGCTACACGTTCATCTGGTGCCGATGCTCCTACTAGACCGTCAAGTCGTGTCTTCAATCAATACAAAAGTGCGAGTGGTCGTCCATCTCGTACTGCAATGGAGGATAAGGAAAAGGTGGATTTTTCATCAAGCTATGAACATAAGGCCAATTGGAATGCAAGGTCAACATATTCACAGTCTTCAAACACCCCCAAGGGGAATGTTTCGAATAACTTTAAACCAGATGTCTACGATTTGGATCAAGAGGATTTATCGAGCTTATCATCAATTGAGGAGTACGAGTATGAAGCCTCTTTCAATGGGAAGAGAAGCGAATTTAGTAATGGATCAAAAAGAGCATTTGAGAGCTCTGCTGCTAATAATTCCGATGAAGCTTTAACAGTGGATGATTTAGATAGTCTCTACGATTCTGATAGCATGGGAATCAAAGAGCCAGGGGATCACCCCGTATACACTTCAGATAATTTCATTGATCTGGATGATGATGATGACGATGAACCAACACTCTCTGTCCATACTTTGACAGCTAATCCAAATCAACCAATTGCTGTGGATGACTCTGACACTCCGAATCCTGTAACAGAACCATCTGTTGGATCCAGAGAAGGGTTCACAGGTGAAGATTTGAATGGAAAACGGAGAAAAATGGAGTCCACTGCAGGAAATGGCAATAACCAGGATAATACATTTGATCTTGATAATCTAGAATCACCTCTCAAGGCCACCAATGAAATCAAACTGGAAGATCTGGGAGATACTTTGAAAAGGACCTTGAGTGAAAATGGGCCTCGTACTCGAATCTTTACCAAAACTGACCTGTTACTCAGCGATTCAGACGAGCAGGATAACGACGACGAGGATACCTCGATATGTTCACCACCTTCTCCCTTTGGCCAGGCACCAAGAGACATCAACGATCTAGTTGGATTTGCCGGGAGATATGGAGAATATCTGGAGTACAGTCTTAACCATCTACAAGTCCTGCGTCGTGAACAGGCTCAGAGGGAAACCATCATCACGCAGAACTACAGAGACTTGATCCAACCTGTGAATAGAGACCTGCTTGAGATGGCACTGAAGAAGAATATGGACACCTCTCGAGAGTCGAAATCGCTAGAACAGAAGATGAAAGAAGCAGTGGTCAAGTTCAGAACTTGTGTCGATGAATTCAAGGGCGAAAGGGACTAAATGGAAACTAAGAAAGTCGCTATATCATCCAAATGTAACGGTTTACTTTAATGAAAATAATGATGATATCATAGAGGAACACCAGCAGAAATGAATATGACTGTGGTTTGCAATTGGAGCGTAGCTATTGGCCCAGTGCGATGGTGGAGCGTATAGCCAGGCGTCGAAAAAAATGCTAGAACCCCTGGTCCGGGGAAGTAGTTATTCCTGTGCCAACAACTGTGCAATCGACGTGTTCAGAAGAGCATAGGACGAGTCAGTGATAAAGATGGGGCAGAAGGTATCACGGAGTCTTCCTAAGACAGCTAGCAAGACCGTTGGTGTTGTTAGCAAGAGAATGGAGGCAAAGGGCATCAGCGTGCCAGATCCTCTTGTGAACAACGATGTGCCCAAGACACACGAGGAAAGAAACACCAACGCTGATCAGTTCGCAAACCGTATAAGAGTGGACGAGATTCCTCTGAAGCTTGATGAGAACGTGAGTGTGTCTCTGTGCCCTCTCTGAAGGACGTGTTACTAACAAGCAGCCACCCCCCTACGCGCTCTCTAGCACCCTGCTCTGAAGACACTACGAAACAGAAAGATCCTTGACGATGCCTTGAAGCAAGACACCCAGGAGACCGTCAGACCTGGCACGTTCGTTGCCATTGTCGATGATCTGCAGCACTATTCGATGGAAGAGGTCCAGCAGAGGTATAAGCTTACGGATGAGTTTGTGAGGATCTTGAAGAATGCACGCTTCTCCGTACCTCCAAGAGTTGAAGTTGCCGAGGAGAAAGTGAGTTCCACCACCATTGGGCCTAGCTTGTCTAGCAAGTCATACTAACATCATTTTATCTTAGAAATCCCCGGAAGAGCGGGCAAAAGAGGAGGAAGACTTCCTCAACAGAACCGTTGAAGCTCCTTCCCCAGTTGAGAATGCCCTCGACCAGCTGATGCGTCCCAAATGAGCTTTGCTTTTGTATTGTGATAGGTATAGATCTAACATTCAAGTATAACTGTACATATATGAGAGGATTGGCCTTGTACCTCTGCTTTTGAATGGAATAAACTGCCCTTCATGTGAATATGATTGTATGGGTGATGAAGATGGTGTGATGACATCTGCACACCCAAACATCCGCACACCCAAACATCCGCACACCACGTCTTGCCCTAGTGGCGAACGCGACGCGTAACGGAGGATTGGAAACACACTTCACGTACACTTAGCACATCCACAACAAGGGAGACAACCTGGAGAATAGGATCATTTGCCTAAGCTTACGTATTCCAACATGGACAAGCCAACACCAAGAGTGGACCAATCTATTGCAAACCAGTTTAACGGACAGACTGTGCGTGTTGTTGGGAGAGTTGATGGCATCAACGAAAGCGAAAACCGTATCAAGTTCTATTCACCATCGCCAAATAACGAGAACGTGATGGATCTGACCTATTCACAGGATTTGAGCTTTAAGCAGGGCCGTTGGTACGAATGCGTGGCGCGTGTGATGGGTACTTCAGAGGTGAGAGCAATTGACAACACCGACATAGGAGAGAATATCAACGAAAAGGCACTGGCTGGGCTGATCAAGTATACGCACAAGTCTGCTCCTGCTCTGTTTTTCGACCAGTCGGACTATTAGTGCGCTGGAGATTGTGTGTGTTCAATGTATAACTACGTGTATGTGATTTGTTACGAAGTGGTGTATTTGTAGATACATGGACTATGATGAATAAGAGAAACAGTGGTCAAGCAGATGAGGTGGCTGAAGATGACAACGAGGTACGACTCGCGGATCTGATTCTAGAAGATGGGTTATACCAGCCACCGTTATCACTAGGGTATGGTGCTGGTGATGCCCAATTTGCTGCGGACGAAATGGTGTATGACCAACCTGGTGTTACCGTGGAAACCTGTTGAAGCATGGTTCCGCCTGTGAGAGTGGAAAAGTACGTGACTGAAGAGGTTGGGAAACGACGAGACCATGTAGTTGCAGTTACTGTGGTGCCAGGCTGTGTTTGCATTGGAGCGTACCGAGTTGGCCCAGTTTGTTCGCTGTATGGCAGCGAGAATGAAGCTGACAGTGCTGTGCCTGTAACCGCAGTGGCACCGTCAGCTGCTAGCGACGTTTGCGCAGTTGGCGGATTCGTATCATCACCACTTGGTTCAGTGGAGCCCGTCATTCCCGTCAATGTGAATCTGTACGTGTAGTGGATCGTATAGCCGTTATCTGTGGTTGCGTAGATTTGGATGTAGTACTGCCCATCTGCACCGAGTGACGCAGGAATGGACATCGTCTTCGAATAACTTGAGAGCTCGCTAGCCTTGACCGTTGTCGAAGTTGATTTGAAACAGTTGATGTCACTATTTGGGCCTGTACAGACCAGGAATGTATACTTGTTCATGTCGGTGAGTAACGGATCAGCGTTGGACTCAATCCACGTAACTGTGACGGAGACGGATGAGCCAGACACAGCAAACGTCTGGCCTTTTGTTGGGTTGGAGATCGACACATCACCAACAACACAGGTGAAGAGACTCAGCAGACACAGTGCAAAGTAATAGAACATCTCTGAGATAGAACAGTGATGAGCAGTGCGTGGATCAGCGACAAAGGGACGATTCAAGGGAAGAGAAAAAGAAAGAAAAGGGGACAAGAAACTGTTGACTGTGACGAGAAAATAAGTCGCTTCGAGGTGTATGCTTCGGGTACAGGAAAAACCGTTGAAAGTTTAGGCGAGGCCCGGGACCAAACGTGTGAGACGTATCGAAACGAACGAGTATGAGGCTCTCTGGTGAAACTGAACTGGTTGATCACGAAAAAAAAAAGGTATTGAGAGCGACGTGAGAAGGGACTCAGCTGGAAGTGTCTTGGAGTTCTTTTATACAAAACACGAGCAGCCCCCAAGAGGAAAGAGAGAAGGAACTGTGAAAGGGCTTATATAGCAAAAAATTTGGCGCAGTGCGTGGAAATCGACAAGGCTGAGTTGTTTTTGATCCTTTGGGTTTATTTTAAGCGCGTGTCTGACGCACCGGAGAAACTTCTCGGCGTCTGAGCAACTCGTTAAGATGTCCTTCGCAACTTTACGTAATTTGTCCTGAAATTCATCTCGGAGAGTTGCGAAAAATACGAAGAGGGATAATTTCCGTATTCGGTGTTTTCTTGCAGCTTTGTGGTGTTTCTGATCGAGATGTCCGGTTTTTTCGTTTTTTTTTCAACACTTCTTCGAGGACGTAACATACAAAGGAAGGGTAGTATTAACGAATCTTGGAAGGGGGAATCAAGGATGCTTTATCTCAAGTCCATGCTTAAGGTGATCGACAACTCCGGTGCGCTCATGGCGGAGTGCATCAAGGTGATGGGCAAGTCGCCAAAGAACTATGCGTCTGTTGGTGATGAAATCGTGTGTGTCATCAAGAAGGCCCGTCCGATCAGTGCGCAAATCACCGGTGCTTCTGCTTCGAACCGTGTTAAGAAGGGTGATGTAGTACACGCAGTTGTCGTTAGAACCAAACAGCCGATCCTCAGACCGGATGGCTCCACCATTAGATTTGACGACAACGCATGTGTCTTGATAAATAAGAACTCTGAGCCTATCGGTTCCAGAATCTCCAGTGTGGTGAGTAGGGAGCTGAAGGAGAAGAACTTCAACAAGATCGTTGCAATGGCTCCAAAGGCCATCTGAATCGCACAACGAGCGCTAAGCATACATAACATTAATATACATTACCCTTGTACATATTGGAATCAAATGTTTCTCTTCCATTTAGCCTCGATCGTACGCATCGATCAGTCTTTCAAAATTTTGTATCACCCGGTCACTGCGTCTCTTGTAATCGTCACTCAGGTCCATCAGCTTTTTATCGTCATCTGGTGCCGAGTACGTTAATAAGTCCATCACCCTAGAGGACACATTCCTTATCTTTAGAACGTCTGGGCTCTCAAAGTGACGTTGTGCAAACTGTGCAATTTTATAATTCACGTCAAACTCCAGCTGTGAATCATAGCTTTCAGGTGAGGATGGTATATCGGTAAACCTGTCGACAGATTTGTTAACGTGCTGCTTAGTGTCAAAGTCATCATTAGGTGTGGGGAGATATGTCTCGCCTCGTGGGTCCATCTCCGCCTCCACCAGCTTCCTTAGATCTTCGTGTCCATTTGCCAACTCGGAGAGCTTCAACTTAATCTCTTTTTCTAGCTTCTCACACTGGTCCAATGCCTCGTCAACCTTGTCAAAGTTCAAAATCACGTTCCTTCTATCGTCGTATAACTCATCGTTGCTATCCATTCCGCGGCTCGGAGGTGACAGCGGCATCTGAATAGGTGAAGAGAAAATCAATGGATCAACAGTATGGTTCACTGGGAGACCAACTGATCTATAACGATACCGATGTGATGATTGGTCCATTGCGCGCCACAAGGTTCAACATCCTTTGAGATGAGGTTGTTTACATTCCTCAAGAACACCTGTTGAAATATACGCGCCCGCTGCCCTCCGCACAATACATCCAAACACCAATGGAATGGGACATCCAGACACCAATCACATACCACATCCAGCTACACAACTTCAAACATACAACGGATAAAGGTGTCTTACAGTCTATAGTACATGGAATAGTGTGTATGTATGTGCTCAAGATCGATGTCACACATTGTGCTCTTTCATACGTGCTTCTCTTTCCTCCCTGTTGCGTCTTCTGATCTCTTCCATTCTTTGATAACTCTCTTCATCGTCATCAGAAGAGGAGCCATCTTCATCCACAAGCGGAGACGATACAGTCGGGGTTGAAATAGTAGAGGACTCTACAGATGGTGTGCGTGTTGATCTCTTAAGTCCAAGTGCAGCCATTCTCTCTTGCATCTTCTTTTTTGCCTGTTCTTTGATGTATGCCTTTCTTTCTTCTGCGCTTGAAAAGGTTGGTCTTGATGAGGATCTCTCGGTCTGTGATCCAGAAACAGTTTGAAATGATGAGACATTCGCTGGAGATCCAACAGTTGGTGAGCCTTCAGCTGGTGAGCTGACTGTAGGAGGAATATTTGCAGGAGGGCTCACAACAGGTGATTCATAAACAGGAGGGTTCACAATTGGTGCACTAGGTCTAACTCTTTCCTTAATATCTTCAACTCTAAACTCCTTCACTATTTGTTGCACTTCAGGGTGCACGCCAACCCCTAGGACCCATTTCTTGTACTCATCATTATCAACATTAACCTTGAGTTCTTTCAATACACTTGAGGAAATGTCCTTGATCGAGCTCTCGACATCACGAATCATCTGTTGGTTTTTTGAACTCTCTTCTTGGATCTTAACAGCCTCGGTGCTTAAACTAGTAGCATCCTCGGCAAGTTTCTCGAGGTTTGGATCGATTGGTTTACCAGTCAATTTGGCCATTTTCTGTGCTAGTAACAGTTTACTTTTGGCCTTACGTCTATCAGCGTCGGTGATTTCACCATTTGGTCCTGTTCCAATCAATGCACTTGGATTATTCAATCTGAACAACTCTAACTTAAGAGCCTGGATGGCTTTCTCCATAGATAGGATCTCCCCAATGAGATATGGAGCGTTATCCGTCAACTGCTGGACTTTAGACTTTAAAAGAGTGCGTTCATCGTCAACTGTACGTTTAGGAAGGTTTCTCAGTTGTTGCTTTAAAGTCTCGATGGCCAAAAGATCCTCTCTTTCACGTTCTTCGTTATCAACAGCATCTTCTTCACGTTGAACCTCAAATGCATCCAATAAGATCTTCTTCTCGTTGATTAACTTCTTCATTTGTTCGATGTTCAGCTTTTCCTCGTGTAGTACTTTATCAGAAGCCGCAGCTCTTCTTCTGTGTCTTGCAGACGAAGTTATCAACTCATCATCATTGTTCTTGAATCTTGATCCGTCAATTTTTGAATGGCTTGACTTCTTCAATGGCTTGAAACTGTCTTGAACACGCATTTTATTCTTCACGTCATCTAAGATCAGCATGCTCGAAGGTTTCAAAGAGTCTGGTAATTCATTAGGAATCTCTGCTCCATTCAATCTTTTGTATACAAGCCACATTCCCATTTGGAAAGTTTCTCTATCCAAATGAGTTTGATTAGGTCTGGCAATCAGATCCCAAACCTTCTCCAGATCTTCACGATTCAATCCAGATTTTCTAAAGATCTCGGCACAGATATCTGAGCTCAATAAACCCTTCTTTTCGGTATCGTAATTGTCAAAGATCTTGTTGAACAATTTCTTTTCCTCTGGGGTGACTTTTGCATCTGTCAAATAGCTGTAAGAGTTGACATAGTTTTGGGACTGAGCAACCAGGTTTGTAATAAAGAAACTGTTTTGACCAAACCCGGTCTTTTGTGCCTTTAGTGGTTCAAATTGGCCATTGCCTGTTCTTAATGGAACCAAGCCTGTTGTCTGTGGTTGCAGTCTAGTAGCACCTCCAGTCGGAATAGGGATCAAATTCTGTGGTTGTGGAGGAGACTGCTGGCCTGTTGCCTGAGAATTCAATGGTACTAATCCAGTTGGTTGTCTCTG